CTTACCTCTTGTTACTCTCAATCATAGTTTTCTTTTCCCCAAACTGTGACATTATTCAAGTTGTTTATTGATTTATTTACCCATTTATGCTTCCACCACCAGAACATTCAAAAGTGCCTTCTTCTGATTGTTTGCGTCAATATCCCTATACTTAGAACATTGCCAGGTTCATTAGTGGGTGCTCAAAAAACACCACTTAATGGGGAAAAAAAGGAAAGAATTTCTATATGGACATGTGTTAGATCCTTTCTTCACAGAGAGAAGCTAGTAAGAAAAATGTTTGATTGCTTACCCAGAGCTTTGGGGACATATGTCCTCATCTCCTCTTCCAATCCCCAGGCTCCAAGAGGCAAGGGAAAAGTAAACCTCATCTACAGTATTTCACAGAGATGCCTCCACCCGTCATGCATTCCTCACATTCTTCACTGATGGACAGTCCCAGCTGGGGCAGCTGAGGAGCATATTAACAACTCAATAGCAAAAGCCTGACCTCTGAGAATCCTTTCCTTCTCTCAAGCTATGTTCTTTTGAAACAAGCCCCACTCCAGAATTTAGCTGAGTCCTTTCATGTGAACTCACGAACATGCAGTTTTCATCACTGGGTTTTCTTAGAGTTGAGTCCAACCTTGCTTCCTTGACCCTATGTGGCTATGAGATTCTGCGACCCAGACAAACTAGAAAACAGTTGGAAGATGAGATGTGAGAGGCAGCGGAAGGTTGAATATTTTCGTACTTGTAGTAATTTGAACACTCACTTATTTGATCTTTTTGTTGCTTTAATGTATTGAGTAACACTAAAATGTATCTTTTGTGTGGTTTTTGCTGGTAGTTGGTAAATATATTTAATCTGTTTATTAGGATATATCCAACTATTTTCTTAATTCAAACACTTACCTGTAGTATTCACCATTAGAGGGCCTCCAATTTTCCACTTGTCTTAGATTTCATGTTAACGGATTTAATCGATCTCATTTTGCTCTATCTCTGTAATGTTCTTGCCATTATGTATATAGGCGAGTGTGGGGAGAGAGAGCTTTGCGTGTGAAAGAAACTACAAATAATAACAGGTCTAAATTGGTTCACAAATAAGCACCTTCCCAACTATTTACATCTTTAAAAAGATTCTTTACCAACTTTAGTTCACTTTATAGAGAAAAATATAATGTAAACATATGAACACCTTTAAAATATATATTGTCTGTTAAGACCTATAAGATTTAAAAATATTTTGAGTGTGCATATCCTTACTGCAACAGTAATACAGAAACCCAACAGGGAAATGGGCACCCTTTGCAGATTTATATTCTACTGTTTTATTCAGTGCTGAACATCTAATAATAAGTAGAATTTTTTAAATTGGGTTTCCTTCTTGCACTTCAAGGAGCTTATAGACAATTTTCTTTTTCTCTCATCTATTCCTATAGAAATACTGACTTTACTAATTTGATATGCATTTATATACGTGTTTTATTGTATGCCTGTACATAATATCTGTATAGGAACAATTCGGAATTGCAGTCTATCTCTTGAAAATCAGGCCTATCTAGGATGTAAAATTCTTACCTTCTAAAATTGCTTAAATTTTTCTTTGTTCACTGTTTATGTGCCCAGAGGTTACTTTCTGAACATTTACAAGAATTCCTTACCTTAACCATGACATGATGTGATGGGAGCAGATCTCTGTCTTTTGTCCTTGTGCAGGGCAAAAAAACAAAGCAAATTCTATTTAAAAAGTAGAAACAGGTCTTTTATCTTTTCATTTAATTTAAATACTAGTTCTATAAAACAAAAAAGACTTTGACAGCCTTCAGTGAGATTTAACTAAATAAAATACTACATATTTAAAGTCACATTTAAAGTGGCATTTGCTCCCAAAATTACTTATCAACATTCTATTCCTTGCTGTGTTACCAGAACTGCTAATACTCAGAATAGTGTAATTTATTAGCAATAATAATCCTGAAACATTATGAGTCATTAAGTTAGGCATCTGTCTAAAACTGGTTTAGAAAAGATTTTCAACAAAACATGCAAGAAAAGCAGAACAAGGAAGACTAGAACATGGATCTATGTGTTTCTTGATAACTGAAATGATTCCCAGAATTTGCACAAGGAAAAACTTAGAAACATCAAAGTAAGCAAGCTATGACCTCAGCAACTGAAGAGTTAGATGTGTACCTTCTCTAAACTTGTTAAAAGCACAAGTTTTATCACCATTACATGGACGTTCAAAAGCTGGTACCTATGTACATTGTACAAGCAGAAAGTTTCCTTACACTTAATAGAGAAGTGGTAAGTGAATTTTACCAAAAAGTAACCTCTTGTCTCTGACATTTCCAGCTTGGGTTTGAGTTGGTGTAAGAAAAAAAAGATCAAAATGAGGTAAAAGAGGAAAATTCTATAACACTGAGCAAGATAAAGAGTTTGCAAGAAAAAACAAGCCAGATCCTTTATTAGTGGAATATCCAAGGTCTAATTAGACATGTAAGTGTTTCAGTATATATGAATAGGCCACTGGGAGTGTTGAGGTTGATATAAATGAAAGCAATAGAACATTGTACAATGTGGTGACTATAGTTAGTAACAGTACATTGTATTCTTAAAAACCACTAGAAGTGTTCCCACCACCAAAAAAAGCAAGTATAAGAAGAATTCATACATTAATTTAGTATCCCATAATGTACACACATATCAAAACATGTCACAACAATATATACAATTTGTATTTGTCAATTAAAATGTTTAAATAAAGCAACAGAATTGAACAAGCTCACATTTTTTCATAGCTGTTATTTAAAGAAACTTTGTTTTCTGATTAAAAGGTAAAGTAGCAAAATGTTAATGACTGATTTGATAAGTAAATATTGCAATACATACATTGAAACATTATCCTGTACCCCATAAAATGTGTAATTACTGCATGTTAATCAAAACATTTCTTAAATATTTGAAGAAATATAAATGTTGACTATGCAGATTTGATCATTACACACTGTACTTGTGTATCAAATGATCATTTTCTACCTTACAAATTTATATAATTTAAAAATCTCTTTAATGGATCACTTTTTTAAAAAAATTTTATTAGTGCATATTAGTAATACAGAACACTGAGGTTCATTTGGGAAAGTGGTCCATCTATACAACATATCTTGATTATTTTCAGTTCCACTTCATCTTTCTTCTTTCTTTCCCCTCTCCCTGATCATCCCTTACTTTATCTCCAAAATTTTACCTTCTAGTTTTGTCACTTTCTTAGCAAATAATTTGTTTTTCATGGTAGTTGGGATTGAACCCGGGGCCTTCATACTAAGCTACATCCTCAATCTTTTTTTAAAATGTGTTTTATTTTGTTTTTTGAGACTGTCTTGCTAAATTGCCCAGGCTGGGCTCCAGCCTGTGATCCTCCTGCCTCAGTTTCCTCGAGTGCTGTGATTGCAGGCATGTGCCACCATGCTGGGCTTTTCACAGATCATTGTTTTAAGTGTACATTGCTAATGAAAGCTGAGCAATTCTGAAATTTGGTTGTTGACATGAAAGAAGCAAAGGATTTACAATTTCAAAATTAATCCTTCATAATGAAATTTCACCTTTTTACTTCATTCAGGGAGGGCTCTACAAAAATACAGGACATGGTTAGCCACAGGGAGAACTAAGGCTCAAAGTTCCAAAGTAGGTATGGAATTAAGAATCCGGAGTGTCATGAGAAGAAGGAAAAATTAAACGATGATTTGATGAAGTCATTTACATGATGACTGACAAGCTGACATTCAGGTTCCATTGTCCAATACCTGCAGGAAATAGGAGGTCAGAAGAAGGAATTTTGGCAGCTTTTGCCTGCAATTTATGTAAGGTCCAAAGCAACCTTAGCGGGGAGTGGTGAAGAGCTGGAGCTGCATCAGAAAACAACCTCTAGCTGGCTCTCTGGGCTTGCTTTGAACTCCTTTTCATCATTATTTTATGTGGCAGCTTGTCTTTGTGTCGGTAGAAGGGAAAGAGAAAACACAGGAGACTAGCCTTTAGTTGCTAAATCAAAGCTCCGCTTTACTGATTGCTGAAGTGGCTTTTCAAAGACAAAGCAAGTGGGGGACATTGAAATTCCTTGTTTCCGTGCACCAGGAACTGACATTCTTGTTTTCTTTATTTTTAATTCTCAATAGCAAAAACTATATTTCAACGTATCTTACATTTACCTTGAAACATCCGCAGTATTTTTTTCTCAGTGTGATTGGCACTTGCGGAAGATAAGGACAGGAAAACACAAAAAGGGAACCCGCAAAGGGTGTGAACAGGGGTCCACCGTCATAACATTTCAGAACCGGAAGCATCCTGCTCCTTCCTTACACTCTTTCCCGTGTGACCCCAAGGGTCAAAGTCGTTAAATCGGTTCCCTAAGACCCAGACCCAGAGAGTCAGGACCCTTGCTAGATTTCCACTCCCGCCCTTCTTGTTGCTGCCTCTAGCGTTTGATGAAGAAACTGAAAGAAAAGGTGCGAAGGTGAAAGGCCAGAGAGGGTCACAGTGAGCTGAGACCCTCGAACATTTTGTGGACTGGTTCTTTAAAACATTTCCTCGCCTGGGTCTTGGAGGTTTCTTTCCGCCCTTTCTCCCCTCGTTATTCCCGTATCTTTATCCTGGGGGTACTTAAGAGCAAGTCCTGTTGGCACCTCAGGTAGACAGGAAAGAGAGCCGGGCTGATTTCGGCACAGGTCCAGAGAACCGTTCCCGCCGTCTCCGTCTGAGACACACCAGGGAGGCAGACCTTCGAGGAGGCTGGCGGCGGGCAGGGCAGGGGTGCGCAGCTGCGCGTGGGGGGCTGCGACCTGCGGGCCCTGCTGGGGCGCGGAG